TTCAATTGGTCCCACATGTTCTGTTATTTCATTAATGCAGTGCTGGTTTTACGCGGACCTCCACGGGTTCAGTTGACCGCGTAAATCCAGACTATACTGTACTGTACATATCTAAAAAGTATCTATCCGCACACTGTGTGAAACATTATGAGACGACAGGTGATAGATATTGGGACATGGATTTACTTTGGTACTGTATATAATTAATATGATGTTCGCTTACCAAATGTAGTAGGATCAGTATGCCACAGAGCCACACATACCAACCCTCCCGGGACATCACGAGTTGCATGTAGCATTTCAGAAGTCATCGGACCCATCCTGGCAGATACAGTACTTTTTTGAGATACTGTACTGTACCTTTCTCCCAGTTTCTTTTTTTCTTTCCCATACAGAAAATTCAGCAGAGAATCCCTCGGGTGTTGAAAAAATCTTTAAACAAGTCAAGGCATTTCATTATATCTTTAACAGAGGCCCTTTGTGAATTTTTGGGGAATAGTTTTGTATAAGAACAATAACTACTTAAGAAAACTAAGTTACTGTAATTACAAGCATTTACATTTTATAAAGTACTTAATTTTTTTAGTACTTTTACTTAAGTATGGTTTTCTAATATTTTTACTCCAATGCAATTGCAAAAACAATTTTTTTTACTCATTACATGTAAACTAATAATACATTTTTTAATTAATTAATTAATTAATTAGTTATGAACGATAATAAAATAATTGGGTGGGTGGAGTCAGGATGGGTGTGGGGAGACACCACATGGTCACATACGTAGAGGTCTGGTGAGGTAAGGTGACATCAGGTCAGGTCAGGTGGCAGTGGCCATGACATTGGACTTTCCTTTTGATCTTCTTGTGTCCATTAACACCTTCACCAGCCACCTCTCCCAGCCTACCCTCTTATCCCAGTCCCACCCTCCCCCATTGAATCCCCTCTCTTCTCCCCCACCTTTCCTTCAGGGGCTTGCTTTTCTTGTTAGATGTCAGGTGCTCTTTGCATAAACATTACCTGTACCTAAAATAAATTTAAAAGAGGATGTGATTCTAAAATAATTTACATAATGCTGTCCTAGATATAAAGCCTGTATCTATACATGTGTGTGAGACTGAGTGCACAGTATTTAAAATTCTGCTTAAATAACTAAGTACCATTGTCTACCCCCCCCCCTTCCCCAGCACCCGCTAGATGTTAAGTGGTGCAAAAAATTCAGCCACTCATCAATTAGAATCGAAAAGTGACATCATGACAGCCACACCCCAATTAGAGGGGTGTGGCTGAAGGAGTTTGATAGCTACTTGGCATGGCCAGGAGATGGAATGGAGCTACTAAGGTCTTTTCCAACATTTTGTGACTTATCTCTCAATCTTAACACCCCATTATCTGCATCTGTTGCTTGTGATCATCTGTTTAGTCAGGCTGGGCTTATTATTTATTATTTGATTAATTTATTACACCCTAGGGGGCGACAAGACTATGCGGTCAGACACTAATACATTGGTAATCGTGTCTCGCAGGACACACTATGACTTGTGAGATGGAGAGTGGGAGTTAGCACCACCAAAGTTTGGGTAACATACAAGAATTATATCTAAATTATTAAAAATAAGTAGGTGGTGACATATACAGTAATGGTTAGTGGCTTGACCTGTGGTAGGAGGTCCCTGACAGTGGGACAGTCAGGGCAATAGTGTTGAAGGGTGTTAGTACTGGGACAGTTACAGAGTTTACATGAAGAGAAGTGCGGGTCATCCCTGCCCTAGATACATGCCAGATAGTTCTGCATCCTAACCCAATGTGGACAGAGACAACATTATGTCTATGGACCCTAAGTCCACATCGACGATACTTGTGTGCATAAGGAAGAAAGTGATCATATTGTTAGATGGATATATTTTCAGCCTGTTTACTATCTCTCCGATGGATTGTAGAGATAAGAGCGACTGAACGTATTTTCTTTCAGTAGGTCATGCTGGGCATAGATTTAGTATTAAAAGATCCTGATTGGACAGTCTTAATTTTGAGAATCAGTAATTCATTAATCTCAATAGAAAGATTAGCAAATAAACATGTGTAATGCTATGTGTCATTTATATTTAGTAGGGTTGAACCGATTAGTCGGTAGCTAATCGGCCAATTTGCAATTAATCGGTAATCAGATTTTTGGCCGATTAATCGGGCTGATTACTTGAAATTTATCTTTGTAATTTCATATTTACCTGTATAAGGTATTAATGTCAGTATGGTGATCTAGCCAAAACTCTGATGCCTCTCCAAAGCTTTTATATCTAGCAAGTACCTATATAAATGTATATTAGTTACATCATTTATATTAGTTTCATGTGCTCCTTCTAATTTTACTCCATTTCCCATATTATGGAACATGTTAAAAATATAGACAGACAGAAAACATGAAAATAAGAGAACAAATTCTTTCATTTTGTTTTAAATTTTCATAAATAACAAAAACTCTTTTACTTTCAAGCCCTTTACAGATGTATGTCTGGTTTACATGACTTGGACCAAAAATATTTTGTTACCTCATTGATATCAAATGAAGACTCACTCATGATTAATCAACCAAAGTAACATCAAATTCAACTTTAAATTTACAGTAATATCTCCATTAGCCGGAATCCTCAAACCCGGAACTCTCCAATAGCATGAATTGAAATTTTCTCGGAAAATCAGTCCCAAAGCCGGAATTTTCCGGAAAATTCCGGCTTTGGGAACGATTTTCCGAAGGGGCACATTTTACGGAAAATTACAAAAAAATTCCAGGGATGAGCGCAATTTCTGGAATTTCCGAGAACATTTTTCCATTACCCAGAAAATTCTGGGGATGAGGGATATTATTCCGGGTTTGAGAGATGATGTAATGGGCAATTTCTGGGGCTTCCGAGAACATTTTTCCGTTACGCGAAAAATTTTAGGTATGAGGGATTTTTTCCCAGCTTTGACAGTCATCTTGTTACCCGGAATCTCTCATTCCGGAAGTGCTCTGCACCAATTATTCCCGCTAACGGAGATTTCACTGTATTTTCTAGTACTGTACAGTATTCAACATAAATATTGCTGCAGCTCTAAATTTCGAAAATTAAACAACATTGCCTTTTATCGCACCTGACCTGACGTCACCTCACGAGACCTCTAGGTATGTGACCGTGTGGTGTCTCCCCACACCCATACCATACCCTTCATGGCTCCACCCACACAACTCGTTTACTATGGTTGATAATTAATCAATTAATTAAAAAATATATGACTAGTTTGCCACCGACATTAAAACTCTTTGTTTGTTTGTTTGGGACAAATAACGAGTAACAATATTTTTTTTCAATTGTATTAGAGTAAAAGTATTAGAAAACCATACTTAAGTAAAAGTACTAAAAAAATTTAGTAATTTTTTAAAAGTAGATACCCAAAAATATTACTTGAGTAGAGTACAGGTTGACAACCCTTTATCCGAAATTCCGAAAACCGAAAAGCTCTAAAAACCGAAAGTTTTTTTGTGGGTTTTTTTTTTTTTTTTTTTTTTAACAGGGATTATTAGCCCACCCAGGCACAGATCACTGACCCACATCGGGGCCTGGGGGGCAAAAATGTAATAGTAATAATAATTATAATAATAATAATTATTCATAGTAAATAAAATTTTTAATAAAAATACACCAAAATAAAATAATAATGATTACAATAACAATAATAATAATAATAATATTAAAATATAATAATAAAATTAATAATAATAATAACAATAATACTGTAATAATAAAATAATAATACAGTAAGGAAATACAAGAATGAAAAAAGATCAAAAGTGAGAAACACGACCTAGACCTATGAATTATTATTATTATTTTTATTATATTTTCGACCCCCAGGCCCCAATGTGGGTCAGTGATCTATGCCTGGGTGGGCTAATACACATATAAAAAAAAAAAAAAACCTAACCATTCTGAAAACCGAAAAATTCCAAAACCGAAATGCTTCTGGCCCCAAGGATTTCGGATAAAGGATTGTCAACCTGTACTCTATTAAATTTATTTCGTTGCTTTACAACTCTGTAAATACACTACAATAGCAAAGCATTTAAGTGGTGATAAATACACTACTATAGCACAGCATTTATTAAGTGGTGATAAATACACTGCATTAGTATTTATTAAGCGATGATAAATACACAACTGTCCTGTGCTAATTTACTAAGTGTTGAAGACAAACATTGTCGTAATCCGATCAGCTGTTTGTTCTTTGTAAACAAATGACTCATGTTTTTCAGTGTGGGATTCTTTTTTCAGGAAAGCTGATTCTTTTAGGATAATATTTTATCAACCTGGCACCAAATGATCCTAAATTATATGAGAATTGTGGTGGAATTACAAAAAAAGTGTTAAAGAAGTCTTGTGGGAGTTAGGGGGAGGGAGCCACCCACCCATGCTCCCCCCCCCCTCCTCCCTCTCCTCTCCCAGCTGCTCCCAGATAAACATTTGTCTTCCACATACAATATGCTCCTACACTTATTTGTTCTTATTTTTATCTTTATAGTACTGTACAGTGTACAAATTCTGTGGGTTTTTTTTTTGCATATAACACTTTACAGTAAATAACAATCATCTCGTTCACAACTCTTGTTGACAACCAGACTTATATGTCTGATTTTCAACCTAGAGAGTTTGATTTCATATTTTTTCTTGTTGATGTAATATTCTTTTAATAACCCTGTTATACGCTTAAAGACCTTAGTTGTTGAAGCGCAGTAATAACATAACAAAACTGGTTTTCTTTAAACAGTTCAGATACGCAGCGTTATCTCCAACCCCCATGTATTCGCTGTACAGTACATCCCTACATATGAAAAAATCAAGATAGAATTATGAATTTGACTGAGTAGAGCTATTGTTATAATTTCAGGGAGGTTTCATCCCCATAAATCCACTCTAGGCTGTTTCCTTATTACATTTACCTTATCATTGTGACACATTAACTTTCAGAGTGAGCGAGACAGCCTTCTCTCCGAGCTTGTATCCTGGTGCAAGTCAGTTGGAATTCATGATATAGTGATGCTGGCCTCTTGCAATGCTTGCGAACGCTGGGACTACAATCAAATCACAGGCTCACAGCTACGATACCTCACCTCTAAGGTGCCACAGAAAGATGTAGAAATCCTCAAGTTAGTACAGTCTTGTGGTTATAAAGTACTGAACTGTACAGTACCTGTACAACAGGTTGACCCTCTTTTATCCAGCAACCTTGAGATCAGGACTTTGTCAGACATTTCTGATAAATTCCTGTTGAATAGAATGTTGATAACTAATTTTACAATAACCTAAGCTACACTTGGCTTAATGCCCTATAGGTTATGGATTTCTTTGTACAATATACAAATTTGGCACACCACAGTGAATAAATTTAATAAATAAACAAGTAATGCTACAATAATATTTAATAAGTGAATAATAAGTATAAAAGAAATTGCATTTTAAAATAGTGAATGATAAGTGTGTAGAATTTACCACCTTCCCCACCCCCTCTAAATGCCAATTTTGGTACTATCGGAGGCCACATTTTCCCTAGGATGAATATTGCTTTTCCACTCGGGATGCCTTGGTATGTGCTGACAGCTTTGCTGGGGTTATACTGGATGGTATGAGCGCATTTTTCTCATCTTCTACCAAAACTTTCACTTTATTGTACAATCATGGTATGATCGCTCCTGTTCTCTTGCATGTAGGGAGAGAGATAGGGCGTATCAAGTTATGAAATTATTTCCTTCTCCTGTTAGTCACTCCTTTCATTACTTTTAGGAATCATTGTAAGGCTATTCTTCGTACGGCCAAGCAGATTTTATAAAAAGAAAGTCCGCTGACCTGACAAACTCTTCTTATATTACCATATTTTAAAGCATATTGGACGCACGGCCATACATGTATAAGACGCACCCCCTATTTTAGCAGGGAGTATTTAGGAGCAAAACTTTTTTTTTGTATTTTCCTCCTGTATCCATAGTTTTCTTAAAACAATATATACAGTACGTACCAGTAAATGTGAAGAATAATTAAAAATAATACCAATAAATAGGTTACAACAAAAAATACTCAATTTCCAAACCAGAAAATAAAAGCCAAATGAAAGTTTAATGCAGTCGCCTTCTGCATATACAATACTGTCTATCTTTACTCCCTTTTTATCATAGTAACAGCGACTCCACCTCCGCTGATTCCCTAACAACGCTCCCCCCACCACCACCAACCGCCCAGCCGTCCTCCCCCTCCTCCACTAAGCCAACTAACTCGTGTGCAAAGAAATGTATATTCCTTTTATGTGTTTGCCCTTAGGACAATAATTTCTTTTACTTTTTTCACAATATGTATGTAGGATGGTGTGTGCATGTATATCAGTAAAAATAAATGAAGAGAGTTACGTATATATACCCAAAAATACGAGTTGGAAAACAACAGCTTGGCCCAGTATCCTGGTTACAGAGACGGGTCTAACCTGGCTACAATGCTACCAGCGATGTTAACAGATGCAAATGTGAAAAGAAAGTTATCTGTAAATCTTCCTTTGTATCAGTTATTTGTAATGGGGTATGCTATAACGAACGGATCCTACTACGAATATTCCTATAACGAACGGTTTTACTTATAAAATTGAGAATGCTATAACGAATGCGGATGAATACGGGACTATTTCGCCTGGCGCATGAATATTGTTGTACCGCGACCCACAACAAGAGCGTCAGGCGCCATCTTTGTCTCATTGTGTAGCCAGTGCACCACTGTTATTGTTGAAATTTCGTCTTTTGATGTGGAAATAGAGTTATTTGTATAAATATTTTGTTATACAAGTGTACAATTGTAACAATGAATCGTCCAAAGCGAGTGAGAAAGCTTATAACTCTTGAAACTAAGAAAGAAATCATAAAGAAACGTGAGGATGGAACAAGCATTGCAAAACTTAGTGATGAGTATGGGATGGCTAAATCGACTATATGTACGATTTTAGAAAATAAAGAGGAGTTGAAAACTGTGCAAGTGGCTAAGGGAATCTCTAGACTTAGCAAAGCAAGGTGTAATGTGATTGAGGAGACAGAAAATTTACTCTTAGTGTGGATAAAGGAGAAAGAAATGGCAGGTGATAACATTAGTGAAGCTAAAATTTGTGAGAAGGCCAGACAATTGTTTGAGGACCTTATAGCCAAGACTCCCAGTGCAAGTGATAGTGATGTGCCAGTGTTTAGGGGTACCAAGGGGTGGTTTACTGGTTTCAGAAGGAGAAATAAATTACATAGTGTTGTGAAACATGGTGATGCTGCTAGTGCAGATAAGGAAGCAGCTAAGGAACACCATGACATTTTTTTGAATGTGATTAAAGAGGGAGGCTTTGTTTCTCAGCAAGTATTCAACTGTGATGAAACTGGACTTTTTTGGAAAAAAATGCCTTGCCGTACATAAATTACCAAGGAGGAAACTTCTGGCCATAAGCCAATGAAAGACAGGCTTACCCTCCTTCTTTGTGCTAATGATTCTGGTGACTGCAAAATAAAGCCACTCCTTGTGTACCATGCAGAAAACCCCAGAGCTTTCAAAAATATTAGGAAGACCTGCCTTGGTGTTATGTGGCGGTCAAACCCAAAGGCTTGGGTGACCAGGAATTTATTCTCTTGAGTGGGTGATTGAGGTGTTTGGACCCAGTGTTCGGGAATACCTCGGGGAGAATAATCTTCCACTGAAAGCTTTGTTGGTGATGGACAATGCACCAGCCCACCCTCCTAATATGATGGTTGAATTGCCAGAGGAGTTCAACTTCATCACTGTGCACTTCTTGCCACCCAACACAACACCTCTCATCCAGCCCATGGATCAACAGGTAATATCTAACTTTTAGAAGCTGTACACAAAGGCACTGTTTAGAAAATGTTTTGCGTCCACTTCTTCCAGTGATGTTAGTTTGAAGGAATTTTGGAAGAGTCACTTCAATATAGCAGATGCTGTTTTTTTAATTACCTCAGCCTGGAAAGAGGTTACTGTGAGGTGTCTTTGTGCTGCTTGGAGGCCATTGTGGCCTGAATGTGTGCTTCAAAGAGACTTTGAAGGCTTCGAAGAGTTAGAAGAAGAGGCTGTTGTTCATGAAATTGTGTCTCTGGGCAATTCCATGGGCCTGGAAGTGGATGATGATGATGTTGAGGAGTTGGTGGAAGAGCACAGTAAGGAACTGTCCACTGAGGAGTTGCTTGAACTTCACAAAGAAGAAAACGAGACACTGAAGCAGAGCTTAACTTCTGAGGAGTCAGGGGAGGATGAGGACAAGGAGGAAAGCCGCATCATTCCAGCCAAAAATCTCAAGGATGCGTTTTTTTGCTGGAGCAAACTGTCCAAACTTGCTGAGGATTATCATCCTGATGTTGGTTCTGTGCAAAAGGCCATCAGTGTGTTTAATGACAATGTTATGAACTACTTTTGGAAGGTCCAGAAATCAAGGTTGAAGCAGCCAACCCTGGATTCCTTTAAAAGGGTAACAGAAGAACCTACAGACAAAGTGCCTGTGAGACAGTCACCAAAAAGGGCAAGGAAGGATGACTCCTCTCCTTCCACCTCTTCTCCATAATTCTCTCCTCCCCCCTCCCCCTCTGCCTCCTGTCCTGCATGCTGAACAACACTAAGGTAATATAAAGTACCGTATTTTTTACATTTTCCACAGAATTTTTTCAGTGTTAAGTGGTTGTATTTGCGGGCCTGGAACGGATTAATCCTATAACGAACGAATGCTATAACGAACGAGGTTCTAGAACCAATTAGATTCGTTATAGCATACCCACTGTAGATTGAAAAATAAATGTTCGCAGGTATGGCATTAATAGATTGTAATGCTTGTAAGAGTTCAGAAATGGTTACCGCTTAGCTACCTTTAAGGAGTTGGGTGTCTGCCATATGGTCGTTAATAGTCTCAGGTTATCCTCATCATTACAGAACAGAGTGGTTTTAGATCGACCTTTTATATTTACAATAAAATGTATCAATTAAAAATAATAATAATGTGTTTAAGTAAGCAATAACATATTTTTAATTCTGGGATTAGGTTAGGTAGAATTTAGCTACTGGAGACAGCAACTGGGGGATTCATTAGCTTGCAGGAGCCCACAACATATAGGATACAGGTTGATTTTTTTTTTTGCCATTTTTCGGGCAAAAACGTGTGTCTTATATTCCATAAAATACAGTAAATCCTTCTGGTCCTTAACCAAAAACATCTGTAATAACATCTGTGCTCCCTATTTTCCTCCTCTCTTCCAACCTGATGACTCTATAGCCAACTCTCCCTCTGATAAAGCCAATCTCTTTGGCACCTTATTTATATCTAACCCTAACATAGATGATTCCAACTCTACCCCTCCTACTCCTATTGAACCTATGCACTTTCCTATAATCTCCACTCGTAGGGTTGCTGGTGTGTTGTCCAATTTGGATGTGAGTAAGGCACATGGATCAGACAGAATACCTCCTCATGTTCTGGCCCCTGTGCCTACTCGCCTCTTTTGGCTTTGCCTCAAAACCCAAATTTTCCTTCTTCTTGGAAGCATGCCTCGGTTCAGCCCATTCCGAAAAAGGGTGACCATTCTAATCCCTCTAACTATCGCCCCCATTGCCCTAAATTCATCCCTCTCTTAAGATTTTTGAAATTATCTTAAACTCTCATTTTCTCCGTCACTTTGATTGCCTTTCTCTTTTGTCGGATTACCAGTATGGCTTTCACCAGGTGAAATCTACTGGTGATCTGCTCTCCTACTGCACCCCTCTTTGGTCATCCTCTCTTAGGGATTATGGGAAAACTTTCGTCATGGCCCTCAACATCTCCAAAGCATTTGACAGGGTATGGCACAAGTCTTTGCTTTCTAAACTTCCCTCTTATAGTTTCTCTCCTCCACTTTGTTTTCTAATTTTTAGCTTCCTTGAGAACTGATCCACTACCAATAGTAGTGTTCCACAGGGTTCTGTTCTTTCACCTACTCTCTTCCTTTTTATCAATGATTTACTTCACACTACTACAAATTCTATCCATTCTTATGCTGATGATTCTACTCTTCACTCTTCTTCACATTTTTTCCCTTCCCCCTAACTCTCACACTAGATCTGTTTCTAGAGCTGATATCATTTCATCTATCAATGCATA